AATATATAGTCACAGAATTTAAAAAATATATATAATGTCTGTCATTTCACTTTCAACAAAATGCTGATTCAGCAGAACATTCAGTTCTTTCGCAAGGAATTTACAATTACTTACCAAGAAAAAAAACGTATAAAACATTGAATCTCAGATTAATAAAATTATCCTTTTGTAAAATAAAAGTTTTAACATTGAAAATGTCTCATATAGAAACAAAACCTACAAACAGCAACAATTTGTGCACATTTAAATCCTGAACAGGATCTGAGCTCATTTTTACTTCTGTTGTGGAAAACTAATAAACTAAAACCACTCTGTCTGGGAGCCTAACTCTTTGTTTTTTGTCAGTGAGCGTATAAAAGGTGGACAGAGATTCCACAGTGTTGCTTTGAAGCTGTTGGTCGACCCGTTTCTAGGAGCAGATGTGAATAAAAGCAGTCAAACATAAATCCAGTTACTGCAGAGGTGAACTGACCGGCAGGATCTGGAAGTGTTTGATCTTCTGATGGTGGCACAAGGTGAGCACGAACGCCTTGGGGTTACTCTGACTGTCCCGCACCAGGAACAACCTGAGGGGAAAAAAACAAACATATTTCACATCACAGACTTTTTAACAGAGTTTTATTCATTTTGTAAATGTTCCCACTCACCCATCAACTTGACCTTGCTGTATGATCATTTTGTGTGCTTCTTCTCTCATGATGCGACCGTGGAACCACAACTGAGTCCTGTGGATCACTGAAAGACAACGTTCAGTTAGAGCCGCAGCCCACTCAGGTACGGGTCTGATGCGTCTGTAGGTGGGAGTACCTGAGCTCAGGGAGGGCGGGTGCAAGGGGCTCGGGCTGCCCAGGACATTCATGCGGTGGGTCCTCTTCTGTGGGGAAAACATTAAGAACACATCAGCAGAAATGTGAGACAAAGGAGAAGGAAAGGTTCTTTAAAAGTGACCGGTTGTTGGGAGCTCAATCAATCAACTCAAAACATCCTGTTAGAACTTATTTATGGCTCACTTTATTCAAATAAAATCTTTTTAAGATGAATGAATCTGAGAAGGTGGGAGTTACTTTTGTTTCTGCTCTTAGTTTCGCCTGAATCATAGTTTTTATCAGTGGTTCCCAAAGTTTGGGTCGGGATCCCTCTGTGGGTCATTAAGACATCAAACGAGGGTCCCCGGATAATTTCCAGGCACCAATTTAAATGCAAAATAAATTACTAATGGAAAAGTTTAACCATAATTATTGCAATGAATTAAAAAAAAAACAATAAGGAATAAAAAATAGTGATTTGTATTATTATTTCCATGTTTAACAGAGATTAGATAATAAACCAGTAATATCTGGGGTCTCAAGTTTCTGCAGCTGTTATTTTGGGGGCAGGAAGCTAAAAGTTTTGAAAACCGTTGGTTATATAATATATAAAATATTTAATAAGAGAAAGAAATGAGCTAAAAGTCTCCAGTAGCTCCTAATGTTGGGGGTCCATTGGATGGTGTAACACCGAGTGGGAAGTCTTAAAAACATGTACAGGAACTCCCTCACATAAAACAAACTTACATTCAGGTTTGTGTCGGGGTGAAAGGTCACATTCACTGATGACATCGTCTATGGTTAAACATGTAACTGCAGCTATCATCAGGTCTACCAATCTAAACCAGTCTATGATCAGATCAATCCGGAGCCATAGTCTGGTAACATTTTCTATCTTAAACATTTGAGGACATCTCACTGAGAACTGTCTTATAGATGGACACAATCTAGAGAACAAAGGTTTGGACATTTCAGGACGTGAGGCTGGAGAGTAGAGCAGGTTCTAACAAAGGGGTCACGATCATTTTTCCTGTGACCTTGAAACCAATATGGACCCTCGACACATGAGGCGAGCAGTTAATGTTAAACTTTATCATTTTAGAGACTGAACAGATCTATAAAAACCAGCAGCAAATCTAAGTGTCACCAAGAGATAAAACATAATAAATGTAGAAATAATCTGAGAACCAGTAAACAGACTGCAGAACAACCAGAACGGTGGCTCACCCTCCAGGTCTGGCCCTCCTCCAGGGCGGCGCTCTGAGCCTCCACGGGGTTGTCGATGACGCGGCCTGTTCTCCCCGAGAAGTCCATGGCAACCAGCGAGTTCTCAGATACGCTCCGCTGTTAGGAGGGGGAGGGGTGAGGGTGGGGG